TCTAGCATCCTCATTGTGCACACAGGACTCATCCAGGGTTCCAGTGACGCACTGCATACCAGATTCCTTGGCCCTGCTCTGGGCCCTGTGGTCTTCATCACAGCACTCTGGCTGGATCAGTCATTTCCGTATCACCATGGCATTCCTCCTCAGCTGCAGTTCAGTGAAGTACGTGGAAGCTCTGCTTTCCCATCCCACTGGTGAGCAGCCCCAGCTGCTTGCCAAGCTTGAGAACCAGGGGCAGGTTGAGTAGTGGACTGGGCAGGTGGGAAGCAGGCTTCCTGTCAGTGTGCAGTCCCTGGGGCCAGGCCCCTACACACTGGAGGAACCCTGCCTGGCTAACTGGTCAGATTCCACACCTGAGCCTCTGAGCATTCAGGCTTCCATGGGCATGCCAGGTTGGTTGCAGGGTTTGTCCTTCACTTGTCCATGCCCCCCTCTCCTAGAAAACTCCTTGTTTCTGAAATTAGGCATTACATGGTTCCAGGGCCTAGCCTTCAAAATTCCTGGCAGGCCAACTTCAACATTCCATGGCCAACTTTGAGCCAGACTTGGGTCCCACTCCCTCAGTTTCTCCAGTGGGTATTTTCTGTCTTGCATGCTGTTGAGTCTAACTCAAAGGCCAACTGACTGGCTGCCACAAAGCCAGAAAGGGACCCGACAGCACTTGCTTCCCTATGGCTGCATCCTAGTCCTGGATAGCCTTGCTGTGGCAGTGAGGCTCTGTACCCATTCCAGCCCCTGACGGGGGATTTTCCTTCCTGAAGAGAACTGATATAACAGCTCCGCAGATAAGTAGCAGCTCACAGGAATCAAATGGGTGAAATCAGCTGTGGGCCTGACCCCAGGAAGACCAGCATCTCCAGGCTCTAGCCTTCTTCCTCAGGCCTAAGAGAGTCAGGGAAACGGTGGGACTGGCCAAGAAACCTCCTGGGTCAGCCAGACTGTCTGGATCTATGGTGTAACTCAAGTTCCTCCTTACCCACGGGTAGGTAAGGCCAGGCCCCTAGCAACTTGGAGTTGTCTGTAATGATCATTAAAGGCTCAAGGGCCTGTCCCCTTCCTGACTTCAAGGCATCTGCATCCCTGATTCATATCACATGACAGTGAAACCTGTTCTCATAGCATGTAACATCCCTGTGAAGAGAGCATTGTATATGATTTTGTATTTTTTAATTCATTTTAATCTACAGGTTGGAATCTAATTTTTAAATTTTATTGGAACTCACATTTTAAAAAGAAATAAACATTTAAAATAATAATAATAATAATAATAATAAACCTTTGACCAGTGTCTTCCAAGTAGTTTAATCAAAGATTTACAGGTGTTTCCAAAACACAGCCTGGAGTGTAAAGATTGGAAAGCCCCACGGCCTCGCTTGTGTGTATGAAATGTAAATCTGGTTTTGTTTTGTTGTTCTGGATTCTTTTGGGTTTTTGTTTTGTTTTGTTTTGAAGATCAGATAGTGATCACTCTGAAAGATTGAAGCCAAGAATTTGTAATTATGATATTTACTGTAAGCTGTAGAACATTCGATAACTATTAAAAAAAAAAAGTTTCCAAAAAAAAAAAAAGTCCAGGTGACCAGACCGAGTGGTTTTTGGGGAAGGGAGCAGAAGACCACACTCTGGGCCAGTGAGTTCCCTGGGCTTCTCAAGTTGATTCTGGTCAAGAAAAACCTATGCTGCATCTCATAGCAGACGTAGCAGGGGCCTGCCCTCGGGGTCTCTCAGACGATGGGGAGCTATGAAGTGGCAGCTTTAGCACTTGGACTAAGTTGTGTGACACAGAGCCCAGTGAGGCCATTAAGAGCTGACATCTGTTGAGTGCCTACTGTGTGACTGGCACTTGCTACTCACTCATTCATATAATCCTCACCGGTGGATGTGAGTAAGCCCAATAGTTAGCCCCATCTTAGCCGGGGGGCAGCTAAGGAGGGTAAGTACCTTGGCCAAGGGTACAGAGCTGGAACTCACCCTTGGTCTGGCTCCCTAGCCCAGGCAAGTAAGCCCAATGTTCTGCCCATCTCAGAGGAAGCAAGGCCTGAGCTTTCTTCGAGGGCAGATTTATCAGAAACCAAGGGGGACAGTTAAGGGAGGCCATGTGGTCTCCACCCAAACAACCATCAAGTGCTGTGAGTTTTGCCTCCTTAACATATGAATCTCTTCTCTCCCCCCCCCGGACGAAGCCACTGCCCTAGTCCAGGCACAGGCTTCCCTCCTGCGTTATCCGTCCAGCATTCCTTCCCGGGGCCTGGCCCCTACAGTCTGTGCCCCATGTGCCCATAGCCACACCTCCAAGAATTCAACCTCCTCAACTGGAGAGAACACAGGCCAAAGAGGCCAAGTAACTTGGCTCACACTGCAGCTGGAATTAAAACTCAGGACTCCTTATTCTCCATCGCTTCCCTCCAAACCTCACCCCCTGCCTCTGCCCAGCCTTCCCTCCTGTCCTTGACCCAAACCCAACAGGAAACCCACCCACTGCGGGGGAGGAGAGGGTACCTCTGGCCACAGGCATTGCCGGGGCTGTGTCACAGCAGTTTCTCCGGTGTAAGCCTCTCCCCGAGGCTCCAGGTCACGGTGGCAGGGCTGAGGGCCGGGAACAGATGGGGAGGTGGAGACTTGGGCCCCTGCCCCCATCATTCTGGCCCTGGGGGTGGAGGGTGAGTGGACTGAGAGGATAAACTCAGAACTGCCCCTCAGTGGCCAGCCCAGAGCCCCACCCTGACCCCCAGCTCCCACTTCAGCCAGTGGCCTGGACCTATCTTGAGCTCAAGAGCTGACAGGGCTGCAGGAACAGGACAGGCAGGAAAGCTTGCAGGTGAGGGTGTGAGCCCTCAAGACCAAGGGCACCAGACACACCCCTACGTGATCCCTCAGCTCTTTGTCCCACTCTTTTTGCAGCTGGCTTCAACACCCCAAAGGACAGGTAAAGAAACTGAAGCCAGGGCCATACCTTTCTCACACCTTTCAGCAGGCAGAAAATTGGGGTGGGGGGACAGTGCTTACTGTGATGGAGGTGTTCACACCTGGCCTCGGTCTCCACCGTGGCTCGCATCTATATGGCTTCTCCCCAGGAGGCGGGCAGGTCGGGGAGAGGGCATCTGGAGACCACAGGCCAGCCTTCCCTGGGGAAGGAGGCCGCGGCCTGAGAGTCTGCCCCAGCGTGGTGAGGTGCCACCCAAGTCCTGGGTGAAGTGGGTGGTTTGGCTGGCTGAGGGTCAGCGTAGTCGGAGAAGCCAAACCCTGAGATGCAGCTGAACAGCTGGCAAATGGGGACCCTAAGTGCACCTGACAGCCCCAGGGAACACTTCTTTGGGAGCACTGGTGATGCCTGCTTGTCCCCTACAATGGACACCCTGTCCTAGACTTTGGCAACCTTTGCCATTCCAGAAAATTCCTCTTGATGCCCAGCCTCCCTGTCTCCTTCCTTCCTCTCTCCTAGTGCAGGCAAAACCTTGCCTCCTGTGTCCTCAGAGGTGCCCCTATCCTTTTCCTGGCCACCTGAGAAGCCCCAGAGAGAGAAGCCTGTGCCTTAGGTACCAAGGGAGAAGCTGGGAGATGTTGGATCCCAAAGCACATCTGCCCCAGGGCAGGAGTTTGTCTGTAGCTGCTAGGCCAGGCCCCCACCTAGGCTTCTGCCAGGAGAAAGGCCCCTGCCCTCTGCAAAGCCAGGCCTCCTGCAGCCCCAGCACAGCAGCCACGTGCTGCCTCCCCAGGTTCCGTCAAGTGTCACTTTCTAGTTCTTCATCCTGTCTGTGAGAAGGCCATTAACATTTAAATATGTCCCCCTCTTCCATCTTTAAACAAATACCAAACACCAGTAAAACACCAAATTAACTAAAAACCAGTCCCTCCCCAGAACCTAAGGCCCCGCCAGCCATGGCCTGGCATAGTCAGGCTTCTGCAGAGGGCAGTCCACTTGGACCCTGCCCTGCTCTCACCACTCCCTTGAGATGATGCCTACCAAGTCCCTATGCCCACGCACCAGGGCATGCAGCACCTGGCTTTGCAGCCCTCCCTGCTCCCACACCTTCCCCTGGCTGCAAGGACACTGCCCTCTCCTGGTTACTGCCACCTCCCTAGCAGTGCTTTCTCTGCCGTGCCCTGGAGCAGCCCAAGATCTGCCCTGAGCCCTTCCCCAGGATGTGCTCCCTCCAGGCCCAGTGCCCACCTGAGTCCTTGTAGATATTCTTGTCAGCCAGGTCTGTCTCTTGAGAGCTCCAGGCCTTCACATCCGGATGCCTCAGGACATCCGCCAGGGCTGTGTCACAGGTGCCCCAGGGCTGCTCCGCCCGTTGCCCTACCAGCTGGCCCTAATCCTTGACCCACAATCCCATTACGAACCTCTGGCAGTTCTGCCCTAGGAATCTCTTGGACCCACCTCACCTGTCTCTCTCCACCTCTTGCCTGGGTGGCTGCAGCAGCTTGCTGGGGGTACCCCTGCTCTCGTTGCTCCTCTGCCCTCCACACTGTGACCAAGAGGGAGCTGACAAATCGTGCTCCCTGCACCCTGAATGCTTTGGAGGCTCCCTGGCATCCTTGGCATAAGGCCTGCATGACCACCCTCTGCAGCTCGTCCTGTTTGTTGGTGCATGGCCTTTGCACATGCTGTTCCCTCTCCTGGAACACACTCCCCCCAACACACTCTCCAGCCCCTGCCTTCCTTACTACCTCTCGTCTCCCAGGCTCCACATGGCTGCCGCCACCTCTAGAGCTACACCGTCCAGTGCGGCGGCCACTGGCCATGTGGCTATTCAGTCCTTGAAATATGCTAGTTCGTATCGAGATGTGTAAAACACATACCAGCAAAGAAAAATAGCTCATTCGTAATTTTTATACTGATTTTATATTGGAATGAAATATTTTGGATATACTAAGTTAAAAAATATATTATTAATATTATTAAAATTAAGTTCATCTATTTCTTTTTACTTTTTGAAATGTAATTAAACAATTTAAAATTACATATGTGGCTCACACTCTATTTCCTCTGAACAGCCCTCACCCTAGGGCCTTCGTTGAGAACCAGAGGAGGTGAAGGGCCTCCTCCGGGCCCTGCTTCCCTGCAGCGGAGGAGCGGGCGCGGGCGGGGAGGGACAGCCTGCCCAGCACACGCCGCCACACAGCAGGGCCTGAGAGGTCTGTGTTGAACAGACAGATGGCTGGGGAAGGGGCACAGAGAAAGGAAGCTCCTCATGACAGCACTTTCCCACCTTTTATTACTCAACAAATGGATGGGGACGGAGATGCAAGGATAGGGCCACAGCAAATTGCAATAAATAAGAGAAATGGGGGCGGGCGGCGGCCCGCGCCTGCATGGCCCCACATAAATAACCAAGTTGCTGAGCCGGAGCAGAGGGTGGGGCTGGGCCTGGCAGTCGCCTGCGCTGCCCAGACACGCTGGCACCACAGGACACGGAAGCCACTGAGGCCAGAGACTGGCTCCAGCCCCGCCAACACTCCTCTCCCTGAAGCTCCTGAGATCTTGGGGGTGGCTGGGCAGGCTGGGGCTCTGTACCACAGCCCTGCCCGGGTCAAGACTGCTTCTGCAATTTCATTAAAAACAGCAGGGTGGGGCAGGCACATGCATTAAGCCCCATCTGTAGGCAGAGCCATCGATGGACAGCCCTGGAGGGGCCTTGAAGGCAGAGGCCCTGGAAGCAGCAACAGTGGGGCCAGGTAAAGCTACTGCTGGGAGTGGTGGCAGAGTCCAGCTCCCCTGCCCCCCACAACCCAGCCCAGAACCTGCAAGGAGCTGGAGAGGCCCTGGGTACTGAGACATCATCTCCTCCCACTTCACAGTCAGAAAAACCACGACTCAGCAATGGCCAGGAGCGTGCCCCAGGTTAGAACCCAGGAACTCAGCCTCCCAGCCCAGGGCTGTTGTTGCCCTTCCCTTTACAAGACCTGCCAGAAGAGGAGGGGGAGGCACATCTGCTCTAGGGCCTGTACAGGGGCAGGGGATGGCTAATTACCAAGGGAAGGGGCCAGTGGTGCCAGACACAGGACCCTCCCTCCCACCAAGCCTAGCCCCCTGGCGGTACAGAGAATCCCGGGGGCTCCTAGATCTGGCCAGTGCAGGCACGGGGTCAGGGGCATCCTGCAGGGGAGGAGCCGAGGCAGCAGGGGCGGGGGCGGGGCTCTCGATCTGCTCCTGCACGCGGTGCTCCCGACCTGCCTTGCTCCTCACTGAGGTGGAGGGTCCCACCTCCAGGCCTTGGCCTTTACTGTTTCTTCTGCTGAGCCACTGCATCTCGGTCCTCACAGTCCCAGCTGCGGCTCTACCTCCTCCAGGAAGCCTTCAGAACCTCCCAGGCCAGGCTGTAGTGCTCTCAGACCAGGCAGCCCCTCAGATGACCAGGTTGCTCTCACTTAGCCGGACCACATAGCGGTTCTCCTGGGGCACAGGGGTGAGGGGTCAGACCTGAGTCAAGGGCTGGCTTCTGGGATCCAGAAAAGTGGCCCCTGCCTGGAGCCCCCTGCACATCCACCCCTGCCCTATCTTTGGTCAGAGTTGGCCCTGGCGCAGACACCTCCCCCGAGCCCTCACCTCGGCTTTGTTCTCTGCTGGGGGCTTCAGCCACTTCCCATGGCTTCCGCCACTTCCTAGCAGTGCCCGCTGCTCAGGGGGCAGGCCAGGTCGTGGGGAGTCGGGGAGATCACCCTCTGAGGGCCCGGCCTCTGTGATGGTCTTCACCTCAGACACCACTGAACTTGTCCGCTGCTCGGGAATTCGAGCCACACGGAACCTGTATGAGAAGTGGTGCGATCGATCCCGTTAGAGGGGGAATCCCAGGTGTAGAGAGGGCAGCATCTGCCCAGGGTCACAGAGCAAGTTCACAGATCAAAACCTGAGCCCTGCCCAGCTCCCACCCACAGACAAGGGCTTTACTCCACCACCGTTTGCACCCAGCCCCCACCCACCACAGCTCTAGGTTGCAGGTGGGCAGGCCCTTGGCCTGAGAGGCCCCAGGTGGCATGGGGGCCAAGACTCTGCCCTGGAGACCCAAGGGCTCCACATGACACACAGCATAGCTGGGAAGTCCTGACCTTCTTCTGGCCACCCCTCATTGCCCAGAGAGGCCCAACAAGGGCAGGGCCACGACTAAGCAGGGTGCTTAGGGTTCAACCTAGGGCCCTGCCCTGCCCCACCCCAGGCTGTCTCCTTGTCTCTCTGACCCTGTCTGTGCCCACCTCACCTGCCCACAGACAAGATGGTGATCTCGCCCTGGCGTCCTGCCTTGGCCCCGGCCTTGGGAGCCTTGGCTGGGTTGGGCAGGAGGCTAGGAGCAGGAGAGGTGGCAGCTGCAGCCTCAGGGGACAGCAGCACTTCAGGCCACTTCTTCTGGCTACAACGGGAGCAACAGGGGCCAGAGAGCGAGGCCAGGCTCTGCACGGTGTGGAGGTGGTGGCGATGCGGACAGATGTGCGGCGCGCTGGGGGGCACCAGTGGCAGCCTGCAGGAGGGCACACGTTGGAGCAGTCAGGAGGGCAGGCCAGGAGGGGCCAGGTGTCATGAGGAGGAACAGATGCAAGTGATGAGTCCCCAGGAGGCAGGCGGACTATCTGCAGGTTCTGGCCCGCTCTCTCCCACCTGCCCACTCACCTGGGCACAGGCCTGTGGCTCGTCTGCACCAGCTGCTTGCTGTGGTACTCTTTCAGCAGCTCCTCCAGGGCCGCAGCGTTCTCTGTGGGCGGCTGCAGTCAGAACCTGGCTCTGGCCACACAAGGCAGCCCTCCCACGCCCTGCCCCAGCAGAGAACCCACTACCTAAACACTGCCCTTCCCCAGCCTGGTCTGGGCGCCTTCCCCTCCCCGCTTCATCAGGTGAGAACAGGAGGCCAAGAGGCAGCACTGCTGGGCCAGAGCGTGCCAGGCGGGGCTGAGGCATCCCAGGGCAGGGCTCTGACCCCTGCAGCTGCCTCACAGGCTCTTGGAGGAGACCCTCCTCTCCTGGGCACCGGGATGGGGTCAGACCCTCTCCTCACCTTTCTTCTCTGTGATCAGGCGCACCAGGACCCCAATGGTGTCCTCGTTGGCATCCTCTGCCCGGTAGGCAGGGTTGATTCCTGGGGAAGAGAAGAGGACCATGATCCTACAGAAGAGAGGGGACTCCAGGCTCCCAAGCTTATTCCAGGATCAGCCGGCAGAGGGCACCCCCGGCCTCCCGAAGAGTCACAGCAGAGCCCTGTGCGTATGTGTTTGGGTGACAGAAGTCTCCCAGAGCCCTGCACCTGCAGGATCAGATGAGGCCCATCATATCTTTACTGTTTCCCCACACCCAGAAGCCCCAGGTGCTTAGAGGTTTCAGAACCATCTGAACTCCACAGTCCCCAGAGTGTGTGTGTGGGGGGGGGCAGGGGTCAGCCTCTTCTGGGCCTGCACTGTCCCCTTCTCAGCCTCAGGGAGTTGTGGGTCACCTCCCTGCCCAGAACTCCCAACATCTACAGCGAACTCTGCCATTCTAGGCCTACCACCTCCCTGCACACCACCCTGTCTATGTATCTACTGAACTGAGAGCCCCTGGTCAGCTTTGGGCCTAAACCTCAAGGGCGTGAGAACAGACCACCGTGATCAATCCTGAGCCCAACGGCAAACAGAGATCCCAGGACTTGCACCCAGGCAGCACTCAAAGTCAGTCACTAGGCTAGGAAAACAAGTGCAGTCTCAGGCAACATGGCCCTGAGTCACCACCTTCCTTCCTGCCTGCCTAAAGTTCCTGTCCCCTTCCTGCCTCCTCCAGACTTCAATGTCAGAAGTTGGAAGGGACTCTGGCCAGCTGGGCAGCTTGGGGTACTGGCATGGGAGATGCCATTTTACTCTAGACATACAGGGCAGAGTATGAGCATGTGGGACCCCCTACCCTTCAGGTGACAGTGGTGGGTGGAGAAGAAGAAAGAGGCCCAGGGCCCTGGAGTCGGGGTGGTGGAACATGCCTCTCCCTCTGGTTCCAGGACTTGTAACTCAAACCACAGCCTGGAACTGAAACCCAAGCCCCTCGTGGTGCCCGCCCAGGACAGCTGCCCTGCCAGCCCTCGTGACGCAGAGCATTCAATTCTCCCACTCCAGGCCAGAGGTCAGAGGTCACCTTGAGTATCTTGAAGGCCGTCTGACCCTGAACCACACACATATCTGTGGCCCCCAGAGCCCAGAACCCACAGCTTGGCAGGGCCTCTCCCAGGGTAGGAATCCTGCCGAAGACACTTGACCCGGTATCTGGCCTCTGCTCTGCCCCCACTGCCGCACCTCGGCCCCTCACCCTTCCTCCCACTTTGTCAGCTGTCGCCTCCCGACTAGCTCTCGCAGGCCTCTCCCTGTCACACCCCCACAGCCGGAGGGGTTCCTAGCTCGTGCCCTTCGTCCTCCCCGCCTGGACCGCAGCCCGCCTCACCATTGCCGCCACCTCCAGGGCGGGGCCCGACGTCCTTGTGAGCGGTGCAGTGGTAGCCCTTCCGCTTGAGCAGGTTGCACACCAGGATGCCCAGCAGCCCCATGAGGCAGAAGACAGGCACGATGGCAATGACCGCGTACTGCGCGGCCGTCTCCTCATGGCCGCCTGCCCGTGTACTGTTCCCAGGCTGCCGCGTCTCACCACTGCCGCTGGCCCCCGCGGCCACCTCCACACCACGTCGGGCTCGCCGCCCCCATTCTGTGTGTCACGGAGGATGAAGGCAAGATGGGCAGAGAGAAACGCAGACAGAGAGGCAGAGGCCCGGGGTCAAGTTAGTGTGGAGTGGGGAGGAACTGATGTGTCCTGGGGTGCCCGCTCCTGCCATGTTGGAGAAGCAAAGGCCAAGTCACGCCCCTGCTGTTCCCTTTCGGCCGTCTGATTGGTCATCCTGAACAGGGCCACCTCAGGCCTCAGGACAGCCAGACCCTCAGCCCCAACCTCTGAGGTTAGAGGGGTGAACAGATGGCACACAGGGCATATGCCTGGGCACAGGGACACAGGATCCTGCCACCCCGATGGCCTGGAACGTGAATTAGTTGCCCCAGGTGACTGGCTCTTGGTGAGAGGGGGTGCACGTGTGCGTGGATGTGAGTGTATGTGTGCATATGTGTGCTCATGCTCATCCGCGTGGGTCTGAGGGGATAGGGAGAGGGGACTGGTCAGGAAGTGAGTCCCCCGTCCCCCAGCCCCCAATTGTGGCTGCCGCCTGCTGGATGGTCTCTGCCACTCAGGAGCAAGGTGGGCAGACACAGCCAGGGGAGCAACTGACCGTGTCCTGCTGGACACCCTCTAGCTGCACGCCCTCCCCTGGGCTGGGAGAAGGACCCCACTGCCCCCACACGGACACTGCGGCAGCTCCTGGGCTCAAGCTTGCCAGCTTCCCACACTCCCCCACCAGTCCTAGTCCCAGTCTGCCACTCACCATCACAGCCGCGAGTACCAAGAGGTGCCCAGGAACATGGCTGACATGGAACTCGGGGGACCCCCCAAGGCCCAAACCACCTGCAGGGAGGGAAGATGTCACTGAGGGCTGGAAGTTTCCCCCAAAAAGTATCCCTAAGGTAGATTGGGTTCCTTCCTACCAGATACCCTTATTGGGCCTGCATCATCCCATTTCCCAGGTGGGAAGACTGAGGCCTGCTCAGGTTGGGGTGAGGCTAGGACCCTAGGATCCAAAGGCCTGGTCACCTGGCCATGAGCCCCCACCCCCAGCCCCATGGCTTACCCAGGCTGGCAGCCTCCACACAGTGTATCCTGAGTCGCCGTGCCCAGCTGGGCCTCCACCCGCCTTCGAAGGCTGCAGCGGGCATGGGGCTGGCATGGGCTGGAGCCCCATGAGGCTGAGAAGGTGCCCGGGGGGCAGGACCTGCATAATGTGTCCTGCCCCACATCCTGTGGGCAGTAAAGGGTGAGAACAAGGCCAGGAGCTAAGCCTGAGGTCCCTGGGGAAGCCAGGTCTGGGACTCTGTCCCTGGCCCTCAGGAGTCTTCCGAGGACAGGGCAGATGGGCGGCAATGCTCACCAGGTTGGGCTCCTCCCCAGGTGGGCACTGCCATGGGGTCGTTGATGTTGGAGTGGCCAGAGACCAGGGCAGCAGCTGAAAGAACAGCAGGCAGTAGCGCGTTGAGAAAGGCAGAAAGTGCTGGGCATATGGTCTCTGGGGTCATCTATCCACTGTCTCCTTCCTAAGGCCCTGGTGGTGGGGACCACCGACCACTCAGGGCCACTCCACCCAGGCTTCAGGGAAACTCTTCTAACCTCAATCCCTCATGCTGTGAGGAAAACCTGCCCTGTCCCAGACCTGTTGCATTGCCAGTGCCTCGGTAGGAAGAGAACCACATCTGCTCTGGAAAGTGCTAGAAAGACCCAGACAGGGCCAGATCAGGATTGTCAAGCCCTGGGGTCTCTGAGTCATAGCCCTTTCACAGTAACCAGATGATGACGAGGAAATGCTTCCAATTCCTCTCTCAGATTCCGTCCCTGTTCCTGCTGCCTTGGTCCCCACCCCCACCCCCATCACAGCTGCTCGTGTCATTAACCAGCCTCTGTTTATCATCCCTGGAGCCAAGTCTGCAGCTCGTGCTTCCTACTCCGGGCCCTGGGCTGAGTTTCCAGGACCGCATCCTCCTCGGTGACCTCCCCACGAGGCAAGGCCACCCCATTCACACCCGTGCACCCACACAGGGCATGCCACATTCCAAACGATCTATCCTCTCAACGTCTGTCCTCCAGCCCATCCACTGGGAGCGCCCTCTGCTTCGCATTCTCAGGTATGAAGTGTCCGCCCTGAATCCCTCCTCCAATTTGTCCCAAGCTTTGGAGTGGCAGCAGGCACAGGGCGGAGCAGCTACCCTGGAGGTGGAATGTTACACAGAGGCTCTGGAGACCTCCTCAGGCCCCAGACCTGCTCCTGACCTGCTAAGGCTGGCAGGCCTCCCGCACAAGCAGCAACCCTTGGAGGGGCCGAGGCCAAGTCTCGCCCTCCCTGAGCTTCCAGCAGCACAGGAGAAAGATGGTCCCAGAGCAGACGCCAAGACGCTGCAAGTCTGTAGTCCAGAGTCACCTAAGGCTCTAATTCCAGGACCTGGAATCGGGAGTCCCTAGACCAATATGGATCTAGAAACCCAGCCTGTAAGATGCTAAGGTTCTCAGGCTCCAAATTCCAGGCCTCTTCTGCCCAGTTTCCTCTAGGTCCCCTGCCCACCCCTCCTGCTGGGCTCGGTTTTCATGCCTCCCTACTGGCAGGCGTCTTAACCTCAACCATGTCTGCCTTGCCTATGAATGCCAGCAAGTCTGTCCTTCTTCTCCACCCCACCATGGGCCTGGGTGGGCACGGTTTGGTGCCTTGAGTGGGGACAGCCATGGTCTCCGCTCCTGGGTCACCATCTCATGCCAGGAGGCATCTGGAGGTGCTTCCTAGAGTCTGACTGCTTCAGATTGATTCTTCGAGCACTGAGTAATGAAGCCCCACCACAGCACGGGGCTCCCGAGCAGCGCCTGCATCCCCCTTGCTGGAGGCTGGGGTGTAGGACTGAGTATTTGGCTTTTCTGCCTTCCCCAGGGCCCCTCCCCAACTCACCACAAGCAGGCAGGACAGGGGCCAGCACAGTGGGCTCAGCTTCATCCTCAGGCCCCGGGGTGGTCGCCAGTCTATGGCAGATGGAGGGGAGACTCACCTGGGCAGCAGGGACAGGCAGACAGCTGCTGTCCCCTAGCACCACTTTCAGGATGACAGGACTTGACAGTGTGAACTGAAATAAAATTTTAAGGCTCACCCCCCCACCAGCTGACTGAATGGACCCCCTTGTGGCCAAAGGGATATCCCAAAACTAGATTGCCTGCCAGGAGGAGGGAGGTCAGACATGCCTCATCATGCCCCTCCCCTTCTTGGAGACATCTTTTGTAACCCATTAACAGGCCTGAGGGTTTGCAAGACAAACCTGCAGGTCCTCAATTTACAGGACAAATCTATGTCAGGTGGTTTATCTTGATAAACAGCTCTTTGTATTAAAATATTCCAAGCCTTTAGACAAAGCTTCATGTCTTTAACCAATTACAAGTCAAAGAATCTTTAAACTCACCTATAACCTGTTAGCCGCCCCACCCCCTGCAAGATGACCCACCTTTTCGGGCCAAACCAATGTATACCTTCCATATATTGATTTATGACTTTACCTGTAACCCTTGTCTCCTTGAAATGTGTAAAACCAAACTGTAACCCAGCCATAATGAGTCCACTTGCTCAAGGCTTCTTGGGCAGGGCTCCGGGTCATGGTCCTCAAATTTGGCTCAGAGTAAATCTCTTTAAAATTATTTTACAGAGTTTGGTCTTTTTTTTCGGTTGACAACAGGAATTTAGCAAGGTGCTGTTGGGCAGGCAGAGCATGGGGTGGCTATACCCCCTCCCCACCTAGGGGGTGGCCTCACAGGGCAGGACAAGCTGGAGGGGCAGGCAGAGGGCTCTGCAGGCTGGGAGGCTTCCCAGAGTGGGAAGGGCTTCCTTCCCCTTCCTTAAACAGCCAGGTGTCCCACGGCAAGGGAGCCTGGGGGGAAGGAAGCACGTGCTGCAGCCTGAGGCTGGGGGATGACAGGGTCACAATGTGCCCCAGCCCCAGCCTCCCCTGTCCAGCCACAGCTCTCCAGGTTCCTGCCGCCCACTCCTTGCAGGTCCACAAGCATACCCTGCCTCTTGAGCTTCTCTGCCTCATTCTTTTTTTTTTTTTTTGAGACAGAGTCTCGCTCTATTGCCTGGGCTAGAGTGCCATGGTGTCAGCCTAGCTCACAGCAACCTCAAACTCCTAGGCTCAAACGATCCTCCTGCCTCAGTCTCCCAAGTAGTAGGGACTACAGGCGCTTACCACCATGCCTGGCTAATTTTTTCCATTTTTTGTAGAGATGGGGTCTCGCTCTCGCTCAAGCTGGTCTCGAACTCCTGACCTCAAGCAATCCTCCCGCCTTGGCCTCCCAGAGCGGTAGGATTACAGGCATGAGCCACCGCACCCAGCCTTCTGCCTCACTCTTGCTGGTTCTGCTCCAAGAAAGGCCCTTTCCCTCACCCTCTGAAGCCAAAAGCAAAGACCTCTCTTTCCAGAAGCTTCTCTAGAAGCCTTCCCCAAACTGGGTCTGGCTCCCATAGCTCCTATGTGTCCCTCTACGCCCGCCCCAGCTAGGTCCTGGTCCTTCCACACAGCCACTGTCCACGCCTCCTCCAGGGGGGGCTGGGACATGTCTGATTGCAACTCTGCCCTGGGCAGCCCTATTGGGTAGGGTGGTCACAGCAGCCAGTGTTCAGCCTTCTGCCATCTCTCCAGCACCTACTGTGTGCCGGGCACTGCCCTCGGCACTAAGGAAATAGGTCTGAATGAGACAGACAAGGTCCCTCTCCTCAGGGAGCAACATTCCAGGGGAGACCAACAGCAAACAGATAGAGAACGGTCCCCTGCCAGTGGTGGGGAGTGCCAAGGGACAAAGCAAAGCAGGGTGTTTTATAAAGCACAATGTGTGAAATTTCAGAGAAGCCCCCAGGCCCAGACTGTGGCCGGCTCTGAGGAAGCCTCCACTCAGTATATACGGTGAACACAGCAGGAAGAACTCGAGTTAGACAGCAGAAGGGACTGCAGCAGAGTGAGGAAGTCCACGATGTACTTCCAGGGGCCCGGCTTCGGGTGCAGGAGGGTGAAGGAAGCCATGCTCCCCAGGTGTCAGCATAGGCCACACGCAGCCTCTGAAGCTCAAGGGCGTCTTCAGAGCCCAGCCATCGGCCTGGGCCCCCTGCAGGCTGAGGAGCCCTGAGCTGTCTGATGCCAAGCCTAAGTACATTCCAGGTCACTTGAGAGCTCCTCTCCCTACAGGCAGTCCAGGCTTCCCGCCTGGAAAAGGAGCCCAGGAAACCGATCTGCCCACCTGCCCTCATGGCCTGGCCGGGCACAGACCCAGGAGGGGCAGGGGTTTCAGTTACACCCGAGGGAGGGAGAGGGGGAGGGGTGGCGGTCACATCATCCTTGGGACTCTCCAGGTCACTGGCAGCTGCTCTGTGCCCCAGGCAGCTCAGGGGAAAACCAGGGATAGGAGAAGGCTGGGCCACAGAGTAGAGTGAAGGCCACACCTGGCAGCTAACACCCAACAGATGGTACCCCTGGCCCACTTGTCCCTCCTCAAATTTGGCACAGGTCTTCCTTCTCATTTCTGCCCCAAGGTGTCCCTTCCCACTGCCCAGGCTGAGCTCCCACCTCAAGCTGTCTCTGCACAGCCCTCCCCTGTCCTTCAGAGACCTAATCCACAGACCTGACCAAGAGCACCAAGTCCTCAGGCTGTCCCCACGGCCTAGCGGCCAGCTCCCCACCATGTCCCCAGGTGGGCCTGGAGGGCTGGCGAGGGGGTGAAAAGTAAGAGACAAAACAACCACAGAAGAGACAGCCCCAGAACCATCCCCACCCCAGGTGGCACCTGCTGGGTGACCTGAGCCCACAGGGAGGCTGTGCAGCTGTTCATCTGCAGACGCGGAGCTGTATGATCTAGAGACTTCCAGGAAGACAGTGAGGGTCCAAAGGCTCAGACTCAAAGCCAGCAAGGGCCCACTCACAGACACCCACCACCTAGGGCCCTCGCGCCTTCTAATTACGCACCTTCTAATTACCCCAAACCGGCACTTACCCTAGTCTGGCTCCCTGGCTCAGACTGAGCCTTGGCTGGACCTGCCTGGTCAGGCAGAAAAGCCCTGTGCGCACACGAGTACACGCGTGTACAATCCACTGCTCAGGCACCTCCCCCCCGCACCCCCTTCCCCACTGTACCTCTGTCGTCTAAGACACAGCCCTGGAACCACAGCCAAAAGCAAGTTCACATGGAAGCCCCTCAGCTGGGAGGGCGATCTGTGAAGGCCCCACCCCCACCTCCCCCTCACTCTGAAGGCTGGGTGGTCAGTGACCTCCCAAAGGCCAGCGTCTCCTCAGGGCTTCCTGTAGGGCAGTGGTCAGAGATGGGGAGACTGAGGCCCCAGGGCCTCCCCTCCAGCTCCAGGTCCCCACAGAGGGAAGCCATGCCCCAGCCACACTGGGTGGGGAGGATGGGCCCCAGAGGGTTTTACCGGAGAAGGAAGTTAGTAGAGTTCACTCCGCCCCCAAATCTACCAGCCTGGGGCCCTGTCTCCACTGCCACCAACTCCCTGTGGGACCTGGGCCCCTCACTTCACCTTGCTGGGTCTCAGTTTGCTCATCTGCAAAATGGGGATGTTTATCTCCCATGGCACAGCTGTCATGAAGTTTAAATGAGGTAATGAGCCTAAAGTAGGTCATGGGATTTCCTCCTCAACACCCCTTTCTTTTCCTCTGCACCTCTGGCGGAGGTTTGTGTTTAAGTGCCCTCACTGCCCCCACCAGACAGCAGTGAGGGCAGGATGTCTGTTTTACTCACCACAAGGCTCGGCACTCAGCCCCCTGTCTGGAGCAGGAGGCCTCCTCTAAACAGGCTCACGAGGTTGGGAAGGGCTTCCTCAGATTCAGCCCTCCCAAAAAATGCCCAATTAAATGAGAAATTCCCTGGATAAAAGCCAACTAACAAAGACCACAGCCAGGGCCCCAAGCTGAGGTGGAAGCCAGAGGTGGTGGAGCCCCAGGAGGTGCACCCTTGGAGGCCTCAGAGAAAGAGGAAGCTGTGTCGTGCCCAAGCCACAGGCAGCTTCCCCTTTCCCAGAAATGAAGCCCAGCGGAGTCACCCAGTCCCCTGCCACGCCCCTGCCCTCCCCAGCCGGGCCCTTCCCTTCATACACTTCCCAAGATCTCCCAGGGCCTGCAGCCCTCCCTGGCCTGCAGGTTAGCCCTGCCCTACAGCCTGGGTGTCTTGACACTGAGATCTGGCCCTGGGCCAGCTCCCACCACCCTCAGGAAGGCGTCCCGACGCACCCCTGCCAACCTGCCCCCCCTCCACACGCCAGCCACTCGGAGCTTCTTTCTGTCCCTCAGACAGACTGTACCTGCTGCTTCCTCTGCCCAGAAGCACCTCCCATCACTTGGCCAACACCTACTCTTCCTTCTGAGCTCAGCTCAAAATCACTTCCTCCTAGAAGCCCCCCACCTGCCGCCTCCGCCTCTGCATTAACAGCCCTGCATCTGAAGACCCTGCTTACCCAGCCCCTTCCCCACCACGAGCTGCTCTTCACGCCCAGTGCCAAGTGGCATGAGGGGAGGGGGCAGAAAAGGTACCGTGGGGAGAGGGCCCAGCTGTGCCAGCATAGGGAGGGCCCAAGAGTGGGCTGATGGGGAAGGAGCCCAGAGGCTGGGGTTAGGCAGGGGTGAGTTTGAACCTGGATCTGAACCCCCAGACTGACTTGGGGTACAAACCATGGAGTATCATCGTGCTGTTCCTCACTGGCGCTGTGGCTGTGGACCCCCTGCAGAGGGAGGTGGTGAGGGTGAAATGAGAACTCACATCAAGTACTCAGCACAGGCCTGGCACGGAGTAAGCCCTCCAGTAAGCATTCACCACGCTTCACCGTGCCTCAGTTTCCCTACTGTAAACTGGAGGGGAAAGGGCACACACCTGACAGGTAGGTGTGAGGTACACAGAAGATTCTCTCTTATATTTACGTTCAGTGCTCGGCACGAGCCTGGTCCACGGAGGGGCTGGATTAGCCATGGTGAGAATCTGGAGGTGGGAGGGTCGAGGAGATGAGGAATCTGCAGGGTTGGTGGGC